ATGCCTTGTTTGTGTCTGTATGTGTGTATTTTTAATAAAATTGACTTAAAAGATTAGCCACAAGATATTGTCTACTTACATCAAATATAAACCAGATGTCATTCTGAAATACTTTCAAACTCTACTTTTATCATTGAAAAACTTTTTTTATATACATAAGGATAATTGGAAATTCCAGTGGTTAACTTTTATCATGAACTTTATTAATTCGATTAATCATAATCATTGCTTTATGACATACTCTATTCACTAGTCTGTATATGGTTCTTTTATGATGTATTTATGGATGGTTACCTTTGTAAAGCTGTCATATTATACAAGGGCTGTCCGGAAAGTATCCAGCCATCTAACCATTCTCATTATGTGATGTTTACTAGGCTCTCAGAAATTCCTTGAAATTTAGACTTTTAAAGATGAAACACAAGGGCTTAAGACAGTTCTCACCTACTGTACTAGTATATTTACAAGCTAACATTGTTCCAGCCCCAAACAATAAGTGGGTTCTTTTCCTATAAGTGAATGGTCTTAACTCACAGAGCACAGATCACAGGTTGTGTAAAATGCACACAAGATTTCATGCCTTTGGTCTTCCCTGATTTCAGCAGGAAAGAGGAGGGTTTGCCAAAGGGCAGGGTTGAAAACAACAATTTCCTATGTTAGTCAGGGTGGGATGAGTGTAGATGGTAGAAGGAGGTGGTGTGGAAGTGGTCTGAGACCCATTGGTCCACAGAGAACTTGGGCCTTCCTCTCCCATCCTCTGGTTCTGAGCATGTCCTGGAGCAGCAGCACAGGCCAAGTGTCTGTTCAGTTGCTCTAAACTCTCCCTAGAGGAGGAGGTCTGGTGATAACTTACCTGGAGGGACTGGTCTTTGCTTCTTTAACATAATTATTTTATAATCTTAATTACTTAGTCTCTAGTCTATTTTATGGGATCTGTCTTCTCAAATATCCTTGATTCTAATCTCTTTAACATTTATTTTATGCAAATATATACCCCTAACATGCACCTAAGAAGTCTTTAAAACTGATTTAAATTAATAGCTAACTTGGATTCAATTAGATTTCTTTTCATTGTACTTTATTATGATCTTTCAAACTGTATCAGGAATGCCATAATAAAAAAGAAGGGTACTTCCCAGGTGTGGGAGATCCAATAGTGAATAAATCAGGCAAAGCCTTTGTATTCATAGAACTTAATAATAGGAAGGTGATGTGTAGCAAATGAAATACAAATCAGTTTGTAATATGTTAGGTAGTGATAAATAATACAAGAAAAGTAAAGCCAGGTAAGGGATAAAGAGTGAGGTAAGGGTATATGCTGTATCTGGTAGTTGTGGTCCATGGGTGATCTCAAAAATAAGGTGACTTTTGAGCCAGGCCCTGAAAGCAGAGGGGAAGAGAGCCATGTGGATATGTGAGACTGCTTTTCCAACAGAGTAAAGTACAGAGGCTCTGTGTATGGCAAGAAGCTGCTTTAGTACATTTGAGGAAATATAAGGAGGCCATTAAAGCTAGAGAGGGCTTGAATGGGAAGGTGTGGAGTTATAGAATAAAAGATAAAAGCAATAGCTGGGAGCAAGATCTTACAGGATTTTGCAAAGATTTTCTGTTTTATTCTGAGTGAGATGAGAAGTCATTAGAAAGTTTTGAGCAGAAGAGAGACATAAGCTGGGTTAAATTTTAAATTGATCACTCAGGCTGCTGTGAGCAGATGAACTATAGATGGCAAGATTGAGAACAGGAAAACTTACTGGAGGCAATTAAATAGTCAATGCCAGGAATGGCAGTGACCTGGATCAGAGTGGTTGTGGTACAGAATGATCTGATTCTGGATTTCATTTTGAAGGTAGAACTGACAAGATTTGCCAATGGATTAGATAAGCTCCAGGAAAAGTTTTCTGTGCTAACCTGAATTTGAGCAGATATCTGAATATTAAGGACAGAATGTTCCCAGGAGAGGAAATGGGAATGTTCAAAAACCTAAAGAGACAATGAGCTGTATTTTTGTTTAAGGAATAGAAAGAAGGCTTGTGTGGCCAGAGCCACATGCTGGGGAAGGAGGGAGAATGGAGTCAGAGGCAAGGGCCTGAATTTAGGGCCTCTAAAGAGTTTGAATTTTATGCTATGTTGGGAAACCACATACAGTGGGGAAAAAATCACATTAGATACTATGTGGTAATAGATTGCAGGAGGTGACTTCAATCAGAGGTAATAAAATCTCAACTGGTCTATATAGTTAAGTATTCTATTATTACATAGAGCAAGAAGGCCCGAGGTAGGGTGAATCTAGGGCTGGCTAATCCACAGCAATTAAGAGTGTACATTTTTGTAACTGAGAGAGCAAAACCTTCTCTAGAAGCACATCGAATGACTCATTCCAACCAATCTGGCAAAGGAAATAAAGGGACTATTATGATTGGCTTTGCAACAGTGAAGAAGAATGGAAGTAGGGAGACTAATTAGGAAGTCATTGCAAGAGTTCAGGTGAGAGGTGAAGACTAGGAATAGAATGTCAGGAGAAGTGATAGTCCAGAAAGGGAACAAAAATTTGAATTAAAGATTTTAACTTTGTACTGAAGTCTCCCATTACCTACTTGTTATGGACTCAATGTTTTCACACACCACCACCCCCAAATCATAAGCTGAAGCCCTAATCCCCAATGTGATGGTGTTTGGAGGTGGGACCTTTGGAAGGTAATTAGGTCGTGAGAGTGAAGCCCTCATGAAAGGATTGGTGCCCTTATAAGAAGGGACATGAGAGATGGTCCATATGAGGATACAGCAAGAAGATGGTCATCTGCAAACTAGGACCCAAATCAGCCATCTCTTTGATCTTGGATTTTCTGGCATTCAGTACTGTGAAAAATAAATATCTGTTCTAAAGCTACCCAGTCAATGGTGGGTTGCAACCTTAATTGACCAAGATAATACCTTTCCTCTGTAAGAAGAATTGATACAAATGTTCTTGACGTAAGGGGAAACTTAGTTTGCTGTTCTGATTACTAGCATTTATTACTTAATGCTGCCATGCAGGCTCAACTGGCTCAAGCCCTTTATTTTATAGTAGAGGTGGTAGGTAAGCACTTCACAGAAGGATGTTTAAGCTACTTAGCTTATCAATAGCATGAACCACATTTATAATTGTGATGAGTGTTATTGATGCATTCATCAATAGGTATTTATTTGTGTTAGGATAATGTCTGCATGTTATGGGAGTATAAAAGAATGAAAAACCACTTTCTCTACCCTTAAGGAATACATAACTTGCTTTTAAAAAAATGTATGATGAGCTAAATAAGCCAAGAACTATTTATGATAAGGATAACAGTTTATGTAAACAATAGAAGTGATATGTCCAGGAATGTTTGATACATTCAGTGAATGGCATTTGCTATAGTATCGTTTTCTAAACATTTGTTTTAGTCATTTATTACATACCATCTTAAGGATTTTAACTATGTCTACCACCTTATTATAATTTATTTAACATTTTTCCTTATATGCACTTTTCTTTCTTAAGTAAATTTATTTAAATAGGAAACTTTTTGACCACAGATTATGGGAAAAAAAATTAGCAGTTGCTTACAAATAAAGAGTAGCAATAAAAATAATAATAATTACAATGAAAAGTATGTTTCTACAACTTCAGTGGTACATTACAGGGGAGGAAATACTCCTGTGGAAGAGCAGCGAGAAATTACTTCTGGCACTGGTCCCTAAAGGGAAAGCTGAGTGTTGGAAATATGTATAGGATTTAGAAAAGTAAAGAGGAAAGACCTCCTCAGGGGAAAGAGAGGTCTGAATAAAATGGAAAGGAGGAAAGTGTAAATGTTTTTATGTAAGCTATTTTGGCTAGCGAGGACCAGGTGATACTTCTTAGCTGCTGGCCTTTGCTCAGTTTGATGTCACTTGGTACTGAAGTGACTGGTGTAATGTGAATTTAATAGCATTTGGGAATTTAAGTCATAAATAGTTTTGACTATTTGATAGTGATTCCAAAGGTCCAGTGTGACTTATTCATAAATTCTAATTTTGCTGAAGCATATATGAATTATGCCTGTATCCACAGCTTGTTATTTTCTTACCTTACTGGATATGCATTTATAGTACAAGATACAAATACCTTGTAATTAATAAGAGCCTATTAAACTCAATATTACAGATTTTGAAAGAGATTGAATTAGAGAAAAGTAAACTAGAATGCTGTGACATTACACCATAGTTAACATAACAGGAAACATAACAGGAAACATAGTTAACATAAAGGAAACTGTCCTGTAACTCCTGGCTTAATTTTTGTTAGGCCATTTAGGAAGTCATTTTTAAGTCATTTGAGGTGGTTTTGCCAGTAATTAGCTGTGTGACCTTGAGTAAGTCACATAATGTCTCTGTGGTTTCCTCATCTGTAAAAGGGGTAATAGTATTTGTTTCATAGAGTTGTTATAAGGTTTAAATGAGTTAATTATGTATAAAACTCATTAAATAGCACTTCCTAATAAGTGCAATGTATTTGCAGCTATTATTATTATTTAATTGAAAATGCTCTCTTTAAGTACTAAAGGTTTCTCAACCTTCCCACTTATTAAAAATTAAAGGATAAATGTCAAATCCATGTGGACTTTTTAGAAAGATCTCCCCACAATTGGTCTTAGGGTCCTGAAAATACCTCCGGCCTCCCCAGGCTTATACCAAGAAGATACTTTTTTGTTCATTCATTTTTTGACAAAATGTTTGATTTGTTTGATGCTTATGGAAAGAGCAGCCATTTCCTTTTCTTATTCTTAGTATCATCAGTTTAATATAATTGGCCAAATTATTGTTTATTCTTTTCAAATTTTGATCATTTTTTCTGAATTCCTAATTGTATGTTATATTAACCTTGATTTTATGAAAATCAGATTGAATAGTTTCAAGGCTAAAGGCTATCTATGTAAAATAGGAATAATAACAATTGAAAGTATTTTATATACCTGTATAATAATAAAAGATTTGGTCCCTAGGTTGAGTACTTCCCCGATATCTGCATCTTGATCTCAGGAGAACTCTGAAACCATATGAGGGTATGTTGTGAAGATCTTTTTATTAGACAATTTGACTCTTTAAAATGCTCAATTTTTCTCTTTGTTTATGTGGTCACAACTGCCACTTTCTTATGACTTTATGCCATTTGAATATTGAAAGACCAAAAGCATCCTTATTTTATAATATAAAATATTTAAGTCCACCTGTGAACCTCTCATGTATTCTGCTTATTTCTCATTATGTGTATTGCAGAAATATCTAGTATTTTAATTTCCAGTGGATTGTTTACCCTAAACATCTTTTTCTGATAGCTTGAAAATTATAAGGATTAAATCTGTTTTAATCTTCCTTTTATCATTGTTCTTGTATGTTGACCCTATTGTGGCCCTAGACAACACTTGAATATCTAGTTATTAGATACAGCTATTTATTAGACAACACTTGAATAGTAAAATTGTGTGGTTGGTAAAAATGAATTAGGGTCTTAGGATTTTAGCAATGGGTGATATTTAATATTGAATGACATGTATTAAGACAAATGCTTTTTATATATAATTTATTTGGCATTGTAAATGCATTTATCTTGTGAGATACAGACCCCCTGTTGTCAAATGAGTATTCTGGAAAGGTTTGGAGTAAATAAATAATAAAACTGGTTCGATATACAATCTAACAATATTAAATATTAAGACTTTCAGATGATTGATTTTAATACTTAATTAACTTATTTAAAGTCAAAAATAACCCTCTTGCATTAAAGATTGACGGAATTTAAAAATGGAACTTTATTCTTTCTTGTTCTTTGTTCTCTTTCGTTTTTGCTTCCTTTCCTTTCTTTCCTTCCTTTCTCCCTTGTAATTGAGACTTTAGAACATCATTATTTCCAACTGTCAAATTTGCCGTTAGCTACCAACATTCTAAATAATAAAAACATTTTCTACCAATTCTATAGATATGTTCAATTACCCTGTTTCTTAATTATGAACATGTAGCTTTTATAAAAGAAACTTACTTTTATAGCCACGATGCCATATTTCAGGTTAAATACCCATCATGGTAAATACATGCTATCTGTAACATATACTTATTCATGCTGCATCCTCCCTCCCTTTTATAATCGAACTCTGAAAGTACTCCATTTAAGCTCTTTGATATGCTTTTCTTATAGGAGAAATCTTTATGTAAAGTAATACTACTCTGTCATTTCAGTGTTTGACTTTTAAGTTTACCATCAGTCAGAAATTTAAATGAAGTATGCTTATATGAGCTTTTCTGAATATGGATGTCTTTAGAATGACACAATTCAGAATGTTAATTCTATGCCTAAGTATTAGAAACAGTGAAGGAATGAATATAAGCTGAAATACATAGAAATTCATATTCAAAGGGAATAAACTCCTTTTCTAGAGGTTCTGTTTATGTGATGCCATTTTAAAAGAAAAAATGTTATTCAACTAATCTGTACAATGCTAATAACTTAAAATTTTCACTTAGAGACTGCTTGCATTGCTTTAGTTTACATGGAAAATATTGTTTTGAAAATTTGAATCTACTTAAAAACTGTTCTAAGCTTCAGTGTTAAACTCTTACCCTGTTATTAACTATTAACTATTTGCACAAGACTTCCCTTCTTTGACACAGATCACTTTTATCTTAATTAACATTTAATGCTGCAATAAGCAGACTTGTGAAACCAGTACAACTGTCCTTAAGATTAGTCTTAGATTTTAAATGGGAATTTCAGCCTAATTTGTCAACTCCTGTGAACAGAAGAGAAGTAAAATCATATTGTAAAGTTAGTTTTGAGTTTTCTGAATTTTGAGTTTATGTGAAGTAGGAAAAATTGTTATTTACAACAAGTATAGCAAAGGAAGGATAGTGCCTTTCCCAGGTCTTGGAAGGTATATTATAGTGCTTTCTGAATTAGAAAAATGAGATTCTTCTTATTTATTTTTTAAAAAATCTTTGGGTATCATTTCTATCAGGGAAATTCTAGAGACACGTAGGTATGATTCAAGAGAACTAAAATCTCTCAATTATGGATTTAAGTAGTCATTTTGTAAGACATGTTTTTGATCTTTGTATATATTTCTCTATATATATCTAGCTTCTGTGCAGAGAAAATTAAGGCATATTAAGTATAGAAGTTGGAGTTGGTAATACAAATTTAAAATGTAATGAGCCATTATAAGTTTTTTTTTTAATTTCAGAATATTACAGGAATACAAATGTTTTGTTTACATGGATTGCTTTTGTACTGCTTTAGGCAGAGTTATAAGTGTGCCCATCACCCAGATAATGTACATTGTAGGATTTTACCCATCTCCTTCTCCCTGCTCCCACCTGCATGATTTCTCTTGAGTTTTATAATACTTCCATCTGTATACATGAGTGCTGATTGGTTAGTTCCAATTTAATAGTGAGTACATGTGGTGTTTATTTTTCCATTCTTTAGATATTTCACCTAAGAGAGTGGTCTCCAGATCCATTCAGATTGTTGGAAAATTCATTTATTTTATGGCTGAGTAGTACTCCATGGTATACATATAACACATTTTATTAACCCACTCATGAATTGGTAGACACTTGGGTTGATTTCACATCTTTGCAATTGTGAATTGTGCTTCAATAAACATTCTAGTGCAGGTGTCTTTTTGATAAAATGACTTTTTTCCCTTTGGGTAAGTACCCAGTAGTGGAATTGCTGGTCAAATGGTAGGTCTATTTTTACTTCTTTGAGAAATCTCCATAGTATTTTTCCATAGAAGCTGCACTAATTTGCAGTCCCACCAACAGTGTATAAGTGTTCTTATCTCTCCACATCCATGCCAGCATTTGTTGTTTTGGGACTTGTTGATAAAAACCATTCTCACTGGGGTTAGACAATATCTCATTGTGGTTTTGATTTTCATTGCTGATTTTCTTGAGTTCTTTGTAGATTCTGGTGATCAGCCCTTTATCGGCTGTATAGCATGCGAAATTTTTCTCGCATTCTGTAGGTTGTCTATTTGCTCTGTTTATTGTTTCCCTGGCTGTACAGAAGCCTTTTAATTTAATCAAGTCCCATTTATTTATTTTTGTTGTTGCTGTGATTGCCCTTGGGGGTCTTCTTCATAAATTCTCTGCCTAGGCCTATATCTAGAATAGTTTTTCTAACATTTTCTTCTAGAATTCTTATGGTTTCACATCTTAGATTTAGGCCTGTGATCCATCTTGAATTAATTTTTATGAGTGGTGAGAGATATAGATCCTGTTTCAGTCTGCTACATGTGGCTATCCAATTTTCCCAGTACCATTTATTGAATATAGGGATTCTTTTCCCCAGTGTATATTGCTGTCTACTTTGTCAAAGATCAGATGGCAATATGTGTTCATTATAATGATTAAAATAAATACAGACATGTTTGTTGAAGACTTTTGATATTCTGCTTTGTGTATTAATCAAGTATTTTCTCAGTGCATTTATGAAACACAAATTGGGAAATTCTCAAGAAAATTATTTCATATTCAAAGGCAACATTTTATTGTGATTACATGAGATAATCACACTATCACAATAGTAGTAAATCAACACACTTTTAAGAATTTTTTTAGATTCTAGAAAGCAAAAATAGCTCTTTAAATTTAACACAAAAAAACCCCCAAACCCCAAAGCAGCAGCTTCCTAATAAGTTACATTCAAGTCAGGTTATTATTTAAATCCATAATTAAAAGTAAACTAAGCACATTATCCACACTTTTTCTTCAACAGATTGTTTGAAAATGACTCATTATTGCTAGTCAGCAGGTTTGTGTTGTTTAATTATAAAAGAATGTTAGTGACTCAGTTTCAATCTATAGGAATAATAAATTAGGATATATTTAATAGATGCCTATCTACTAGTAGGTGCCACTTTAATACTTTCATAAAGTATTTATATAGAATACTTGTAGACTAGAGTATTTGATTAATTTTTTATTCTGGTTATTGGTATTACCATAGACTTGTTAAGTTCTAAAGAACTACAATTAAAACTAAATTCGCTGAATGACTTCTTGAACTTAACTTTCTCTAAGAAGTCAAAAAGACCTGATATATATTTTAGGTCCCTAAATGAATATATAAACATCATTGTGTCGTATTTTATTTTAGCTATATAAAAACTGATTTTTTGTTGTTGTTGTTGTTAAGACAGAGTCTCACTCTGTTGCACAGGCTAGAGTCCCGTGGCGTCAGCCTAGCTCACAGCAACCTCAAACTCCTGAGCTCAAACGATCCTTCTGCCTCAGCCTTCTGAGTAGCTGGGACTACAGGCATGCACCACTATGCCCGGTTAATTTTTTTCTATATATTTTTAGTTGTCAGGCTAATTTCTTTCTATTTTTTTGGTAGAGATAGTCTCACTCTTGCTCAGGCTGGTCTTGATCTCCTGAGCTTAAACGATCTGCCAGCCTCAGCTTCCCATAGTGCTAGGATTACAGGTGTGAGCCAGCACGGCTGGCTAAAACTGATTTTTTGATGTTCCTTTTTAAAAATAAACTTTAATATCAGCTTGCTTGTCTATTTTTTCATAAAGTTTAAAATATATAAAATCTGTTTATTTGTATTAATACATTTTAGATATGTGAAGCCTGTGACAGTGGAAGTATGCTGTAAAAATAAGAAATTAAGCTAATGAAATGATAAAAACATGGTTTAGGACATTAAAGAAAATTTAAGGAAATCTAGCAGTTAACTTAGAATAAAGTGACATTCTCAAATGTTTATTTTTTGTTTTAATTTTACTTTTCTAAGAGATAGGGTCTTGCTGTATCACCCAGACTAGTTTTGATCTCTTGGCCTCAAGTGATCCTAGCACCTCAGTCTCCTCAGCAGCTGGGACTATAGGCACAAGCCACTGTGCCCTGCTTACTTTCATATTTTTAAGAGTATAACAAAATATAGAGAGAATATAAATTGTACATTAAAATAATTGCTTATTGGCAATTCTAAAATGTGTTTGGCTAAATACAATTGGCTAAATACAATTCTAAAATGTGTTTTTAGAATTTAATGTGTTTTAATCGGTTCCACATAGTATTTTTTTAAAATTTGAATTATTTGCAACACATACAAATGAGGAGATTTCACATAAAATTCTAGATTTCTATCTTATTTTGGAAAAGCTGAAGTCTAGTAAGGGGTGTTCTAATTCTTGATAGACCCCATCTTTTTATAACCCTTGTTTTATACTTGGCCTTTTTGTCACATTGACCTATCAGGAGCCAAATGTAATGTGGAAGAAAGAATTTGAGCTCTGGAGCCAATTCAAATTATGGCTTCAGTACTTATTAATTGTGTGACTCTAGACAGAATACTTGATCTCTCTACACCTCTGTTTTCTCTTTGGTAAAATGAAAATAAGAATGATGAAGTTATATCTTTATGTTGTAGGAGGATGAAATGATGTGTGTTCATGAAGCACTGAGAGTGGTTTTTGGTGTACTTCTTTGCTTGTAGAGTGGATTTGGCATATCTTCTTTGCTTGTATTATAATTAATAATGCATTTTGCCCCCCACCCCTAGTTAGACATTTGAATTTGTTGATCCTTACTGCTTCAAAGTAGAGGACTTTATTTCTTCATCTCTTCATTTACTTGTGCAGAATTTATGAGATTCTTTTTTATACTATAACTGATCATCTACATTTTGCTATCGCCTACTAGGTTATGTTCCCCCAGAGTTTCTTCTATATAGTAAGTGCTCAGTATATGCTTATTGATTTGTACATATAAGAAACAAATACTGACATCTGTCTAGATTTATGGATTTAGGATTTATAGCTTTAGAAATTCTTACTACATATTAGCTACAAAAGTTTTCTGTTTTCCCTAACCCTCTGCCCCTCTGGTTCTGTTGTAAGGGATAGTATTTATTAACATCTGATTGTGATGGCAGGAGTGGAGGGGTTGGATGCTTTGTTAAAAATCAGAAAAGGTACATGAGTATTTTACAAGGTAAGGGTTATTTCGGGCTGGGAAAAGGTGGGAAAAACCGATCAAGAATTTGTGTATTCATGGGCATCTCTGGAACCTTTTCTCCATAGTTAGAGACCATATCCTATACAATTAAGTACTCATTTTGATTTGACTTGCTTTTCCCCCTTGTCTTTCCTTATTTTCTCTTTCTTTCATGTCCCCATTGCTCTTGAAATTTAAAAGATTATGGTGCTTTACATTATTTTGGACGAAAATTGGTGAACCTGGTTTATTTTTGGAAGAATTCTGATTTCGGAAGGTAAGGTGTACCTTATGGATATAGAAAATTTCCAAGTAGTTAATCTTGGAAGTTCAAAATAATTTTCTTTCTTCCTTCCTTTCTTTTTTTCTTTCCTTCTTCCCTCCCTCCCTCCCTCCCTCCTTCCCTCCCTTCCTTTCTTTCCTTTCCTTCTTTCAAAGAGAGAGTCTCACTCTGTTGCCTGGGATAGAGTACAGTGGTGTCATCATAGCTCACTACAGCCTCACACTCCTGGGCCCAAGCAATCTTCCTGCTTCAGACTCCCAAGTAGCTGTGACTGCAGGTGCACACCACTGCACTCAGCTAACTTTTTTATTGTTTTAGTAGAGATAGGGTCTCACTCATGCTCAGGCTGGTCTCAAACTCCTGAGTTCAAGTGATCCTCCCACCCTGGCCTCCCAGAGTGCTAGGATTACAAGCATGAGCCACTGCATCTGGCCTCAAAATCATTTAATTTAAAAATTTTTGTTTAATTTTGAATAATTTATGGAAATAGGAATGAAGTGGAAAAACCCTTCAAAATGATTATTTATATAATCTTGTTGTAAGTGTAAAACCAGAGGCATAAAGCATATTGTTGCCACCCAACCAAGTTCATTTGCCTGCTGCCCAAGAGGAAGCCTGTATGCTGAGACAGCAGCATAACACTAAGGGGGGAGGGAAATTTCTCAAATCCACCTCCCAGAGAATTTGGGAGACAGGGTTTTTAAAGACAGTTTGGCATAGGCAATTGAGTCTGCTCATTGGCTGGGTTTGGGGTGGAACCACTGGGTTGTAGAAATTGTCTTCTGTGCTGACCAGGTTCTTGGGTGGGGGTCACAAGACCAGTTGAGTCAGTTCCTTGGTATGGGCCACTGGTCTGGGTGGGTCAGCCATTTGAATGGAATGCGGGACCTGCAAGATATCTCAGAAACTAACTCTTGGTTTCAGAAAGGTGATGTTATCTATGGAGAAAGTTAAGAATCTTTATGACCACCAGCTGTGTGGCTCTGGAATTGCAATTATAGAGAAGCAAACAAGGGGACAGTGGCTAATTATCATTATTTTGAACTAGGCCTTTGCCTTAATTTTAGCTAGGTTCTTACCAGAGTTCTTGCTTTGCACCTCATTATTGATTTGTTTAAAGGGCGGTTTCAATAATAACAATAACATATATATTTGGGTGCATAAAAATAAAAAAAAAATGAAAAAGTTACTTATGTCACAAAAATGCCATACACTTAAAGATGGACATACTTTAGGAAAATATATGTATCATATGAAAGTTTTAATATGCACAATACTTAAAGCATGCTTACAAATCATGAACACAATCATAATAATAAACTCTATTCACAAAATATAATAAAAAATTTTAGAGAAATATATGAAGTCTTCAGTAGTCTCACTAATTATCAAGCAAATGCAATATAAATTTTACTATCACATTGGTTCAAAACCAAAAAGAGGAACTATCCATTTAACGAGAATTCAGAGGAAATGACTTATTGTGTCATGTACAGACCTTTTTAGAGTACAATTTGCCAAGCTTATCACATAATCTTATTTTTTAAATGTATGTTTTAGTCCAGCAATTGCACATACAATAATTTATCCTAAGGAGATAATTGTGGATATGACACTGCTAAAAGATAATAATTTGCTGTATATAGTGTTGAACAACTGAAAGCATCCTAATTGTTTACTAATAAGGAATTGGTTACATAAATTGTGCTGGCTATAAAATGGAATGCTAAGGATCCATTAGAAATGATAATATAGGTACTTTTTTTTCATATCTTGGAAGGACACTCAGTTAAAAGTAGATTACATAATCAGTAAGTTTTAACATGTTGGATCACATTAAAAACATATACATTTTAAATGCCCAGAACAAAGACAGAAAGGATACGTGTAATACATTGAAATGTTAAGAGTGGTATTTCTAGCTACTACAATTATGAGTAATTTTAATTTGCTATATTTTCATGTTTGTGGAAGTTTCTATTGTGAATGTGTATTATTTTGGCTATAAAACAAAAGGATGCTATAAATGGGAGAATAATTTCTTTAACTTATTGTACAGCTTTTTGTGCAAAGTTTGATGCTAATAAATATGATGTTGAATCACATTGAGATAGACTATAAATGAAGTCCAGATTTTTGGAGAAATTGTTGAAATGGAAATATTGTGCTACCTTTTCACTTCTTTGTATAAGCCTACCAATGTGTAGTAACAGTCCTTGGAGCCTGTGGAAAACATGTAAATGTCTATAATGCTCATTTAATAATTTCGGTCTCGTATTTATTCCGAGTCATAGCAGAAAGAAAAAAATTATTTTTCTCTATATTTTTTCACATTCTAGGTACGTTAGGTGATATCGTGCACTTCTCACCATGTATCATTCCTTATCTGAAACCAGACATCCTCTACAGCCAGAAGAACAAGAAGTGGGCATTGACCCTTTGTCCAGTTACTCTAACAAGTCTGGAGGTGAGTTTTGTAGATGCTCTCTGTGGGTACTGGGAAACCTAGCAGAGGGGCTCCAGTTAGCCCTCTCTGCCTTATATGTGTAATTCTCTTGATGAAACTGAGAAAGGCAACTTTAAGAACATTTCTCTGTATATGTATAGAGCAGGCTTGACACTAATGAATACAACAAAAAGTCAGCTTTCAGTTATTGACAGAAGTATTAACCAAATGTTTAATGGACTGCCATCATTTTTAAAAAAATCACAAATTAAACAATGACTTCACACATCTTCTAAAGAATCCTATACTTTTGGTGTTGATTTGCAGGGATTGTTATTGCCCTCCAGCAGGTTGAGATTATTCCATGATAAAAAGCTTACCTGATTCATCATCATCTTTTTTTTTTAATAAAATAATTGAAATTTGTGTTATATTTTTAAAGATCTATACATTGAAATTATTATGTGGTAGAATTAAAAAGTAGACTATATTCAGGTTCTGTGCTATAAAAATTTATCAAATGTGTATGTATCTGAATCTGTATTTTCTCAGTGTTTTTACTTAATGATAGTAGTAATATGGTTTTTTAGAAGAAAGCAAGGAGTCTGTGAGAATTCTTGAAGCCTTAACCTTATTTTTAAGTAATTTACTAAATATGTGATAAAGTTCATTGACTCAGTGACTACTTGTAATTTTTCACTCACAAAATGCATATATTAGGATTGTAAGATCTATATTTTAAAATATCATAAATTAGGCAAAATCATGTGTGTTTTTTATAATTCAAATGAACTTATATTTTTCTGTCTATTGATGTCAAGGTCTGCTATTAACTCATGTTCTGAGAATTTTAAAAAATAATACTAAAAATGACTTTCTTTAGAACACAAGCTCTTTATGGAGTATGTTTATGTTTTTTGTACGTCTTTAATATCTTCTGCATCATTCAAATGCCATCGTTATTTTTAATGAAAATGGGAGAATTTGTCCTACAACTTTTTTTTGTGGTTTTATTTTTTATCTGTTGTTATATAAGGACTCAACAAGACCTGTTTAAGATTTTGATAACATGAAAACTAATAGTGTTCATTTCAATTTCAGTATTTTAATTATCTCAGTGGTAAGCATGATACTTTTCATGGCAATATCTTCTCCTAAATGTAATACTTATAAGAAGCACTCAATTAAATAAGTCAAATTGTTTTGCAAGTACTTCTGTGAGTGTTTTAAAAGTGAATATGTATTTGTGTTACAAGCATATAAAATAGTTTCACCAAAAGTTTTCATGCTATTTCTGGTTTATATGCTTATTTGAGAACATAGTTTGTTGTTATTTATTTTTTAAGTGTATATTTTTCTCTGGCCTACTTCATTAAATATTGAGGGTCTTTTTTTTTAACCTGGTTAAAAAGACATTTTAAATTAATTTTATCCTTTATTGTTTGCAGGAATAAGTAGTTACCTTTACTGAAAAGGCTTTTCGTTTATATCCTAGCCTAACATTTCTATGACATACTAAGTTATTAGGACTGAATTGATGTTTAAAAGTGCCATTAATTCATTTACCCCAAATGTTCATTAACAATGTAAATGTATGCTGATGTTCTATGAGACAAGGAAGTGACTAATGACTCTTCCAACTAACAACACTTAAAATGAATAGAAACTTTAGATAGCTAATCTTGAAGTAATCAAGACCCTCATTCAGCTTGGCATCTCTGTATGCTCTAAAACAGCTGTCAACTGTTAAAAATATATACAAAACACACATACGCACAAGCACATGCAGAAAGAAAGATATGTAAATATCTAGTTCTTCAAAGCCATAAAGGTTATAACCGTAGTGAGTTTTGTACATTGTATATGTAAATATTTTATATAAAGCATCTATTTCATCTTTTTAGATTTCCTTTTTGCAAGAAAAACATGTGTTGCATTTGAATGGGATTGTCATATTTGCTTGAAGAATCATCACCTTTCTAGTATATTTGTTTATTTTCATATATGTCTTCCATGAGGTTTCTTCAAATATTTTGGAGTCTTTTATACATTTCTGCCACTTAAATTTTAATTCCCTTAAAATTCTTTAAGGGATTTGTGGCTATTGGATGACTCATTTTCTAAGTAGTTGAACATTGGTCTTACCATCAGTTGTTTGTGTGTAGAAGTCATGTATAATTTTTTTTTAAACATTCTTGTCATAGATTCTTTTAGTAACAAAATGTCTGTAATTTCTCAAATCTGAATTTTAACCTTCATGAAGAAATAGTACTGTTGAATGATTCTGAGAATTCTGGAAAGGAGTAGTAAAATATCCAGATAATGGGAATGGAGAGAAAAAACCTGCATATCATTGGTTTATTTTCATGAGTGGTTTAGGAAAGTGGGTGAGGGCAGAAAAAAAGAACTATCTGGATATATACATGTAAAGTTTTAGGAAATGTTATCCACGTGACTTAACTCTTAATACCTTAAGTATTTTTTTTTTTATCAAACAGAGAAAAGTGTAGAAAATATGACCTTAGCTCTGTGCCCTATTAAGTTTAATCATGTACATGTACTACCACCATAAATTCCAAGATCTTTGATCAAAGGTTAATAATAACTGACAAGTTACCTGTAATTTAATTGAAAACAAAAAAGCAAAAATATTTATTAGTCTATTCATGATTATTTGTTCTTAACATATAACTTTTCATGATCAATGAAATGGAAAGTTAATCATTTTTTAAAACTGAAAATAACAATATCAAAATTAGTAGAAACATAACCTATTAAATAATATTGTTGGAATATGACTAGTTGCTTTCACAAGCTTATGGGAGATTAGAATATTGGTGATGATGAGAGAAATTTTCTTCCATTAATATTAGTCTCTTTTGAGAATAGCTTTCTGTTATATATTATTAAAGTTTTTAGCTTCCATTTTATATGCCATAGTACTTACCTTCTGACTTACAGCCCTTATAAGAGTCAGATAATTATTCAACCTATCTTTGCCCTTTTATGTATCATATGAAAAGTCTGTGATACTCAAAAAAGCATTCTTTCTATCATTATTTATAAAATATTTAGTAACCTGCTTAAAACCAAGATGTTCAGAATCCTGCCAAGTCCTTTTTTGCCTCCTATAATTTTGTTTTTATCCTAAATATTTCTTTCTTTTCATTATAATGTCATAGAGTTTTAGAACCAGAAAGGAATATTCTGGCTGTATTGATGAAAAGAATTGATAATCATATCAACTGAAGTTGATATGATAAAATAATGCTGTCCTATTGTGATCTTTAATGTTGTTTTTCATACAGAAGAGGTGAATTTAGATTTGAATAAAAGATGATTTTGTTCTGCTTAAGATATCTGGGTATCTGGACAAAGTATAGGATGCTGTCTGAAGCACTTTAAGTCCTGCTCTGGTGTAATTAGCTGTAGCCATCTTAGGGAGGAAGATGGCTTACAACTCTTCAGTCATTACCCATTCCACTAATGCTAAAATCGACACTCTTGACTATGATGTGCATGGTTGTCTTCTTGCCTTTGTGGCCTCACTTAGATGTGCTAAGCCAGTTCTAGACTCTGGGCCTTCCCACATGCTCCATGTTCTCTAATGTTATTATTGATTACTTTAGAGCACTAAACATGATATCTATGTTAATTTGTTTTCTTGTTTATTGTTTGTCTTCTGGTCAAGTGTAAGCTTTATGAGAGCATCAACCATGTTGGAACCATTTGTATATCTAGTACCTGTTCATGGGCACCATTCAGTAAATAACTAACAAATAAGTGAACTGTGTTTTACCAGCTTGGGCAGCTCCATTTGTATTAATTAATAATTGCTGAATGTATCCTTTTCTTCCATCTACTATTCTATTTCCTGTCCTAAATTGTAATGTATACAATCTGTTTCATTGTTCCTGATTATTCTAGTACTTGAATTTTTCTTCTTTTAGAGCTTCAGAAGTCAGTATACACTCTTCTGTGGTCCTCTTTGATGCGCTTTGGTCTCATTGACCTCTCCTCTTTTGAAGTCCTTATTAAAATTTGCTTTTTTCATGTTTCCTTTTACTTGTGACCCATAACAAGATTTCCATTAGAACCAAGTGGAGAGAGTTTTCTGGCAAATAAATGTAAGGTAATGATGTGCTAATTAACCCACAGCAGTAATCGCTTTGCAAAGGAAAGCTAAGGAAGTAAGTTACTTTTCCAAATTTGTGACCATAATTTGGGAGCATAGACTACATGTAGTATGCTTACATTTAATATACATGTTTAACATATATAGCTCTTCAGGAAAATTTTGTGACAATAGTGTTTTTAATTCCTGATTTCTAAAACTTATTAACATGTTTTATAACAAGTATTTATTTCGCATATAAAATGCTGTAGAATGAATAACCTATAGTGGTGGCAGCTTTTGTTAAGTTTAAAACACTTTTAAAGATTTCTTTGTTGTCATTCAATAAATATTGAGTGCCTTATATGTACTAGGCATTATTATGGGTGCTGGAAATAAAACATTGAGAAAGATAAACATAGTCCTGAATGCTATGTTGTTTATGGATAATACCAGGATTTGGGGGTGCCAGGCAGGGAAAAGCAAATGACCATTTTAGTTAGAGAATAATAAGTTCTTTCCTTTCCTCTAGGAAAGTGTGCTTAGGTACTACATTGGTGGGGAAATCCATCTTGAACTGCAATGATGGTAGATCAGGAAAGGTTTGATATCTATCTAAACCACAACCTGAAGGATTAGGATCTGTTAGCCAGGTGATTGAGTAATGAGTATGCGCTGTGAGCTTGCCCTCTGCTAAACATAAAGAATCTCAGTGTGGTTAGAGGTTAGAGTTCAAAAGAGAAATGGCCACATATGAGACTGAAGACCAGGGCCATGAAACCATTTTATAGTAAGAAGAAAAGGTGGTTCAGTGAAGGAATTTTATGGCCAGATTTGCATTTTAGAAACATTATTTCTACTATAGTAGGGTGAACAAAGTACAGTGATGGGGCAAGACTGGAAGCAG